CGTGCGAGATTACAACTTTGTTGACTGAAACTTGACACAATTATATGCCGGTAAAATTCAAAAAAGGACAATATTTAATAATCGCCAATAAATAAACTTATCTAAAGAATGATACTTGTAATGCAGTCTTTGTGTAATAATGAATATTACTAAGTTCTATCCCAACACCAAACCGTTTTTTTTAACAACTCAACAGGTGTTTCAATCACCAAAGAATTAGATATGAAGGTGGTATTTAAAACAAGTCATACACTATAAAGCCTTTTAAGAAATCCAAAGGACAAATTCGAGAATTCGGTAGAGTCTAGAATTTACAAATTAAATGTAAGGAATGCGAAGCAAAATATTATGAACAGACTGAAAGATTTATTAAAATAAGATATAAGGAACAGTTAGCACACCTAAAATATGGAAAATCAGACAAATCGGCAGTCGCCCATCACGTTTTGCAACGAAACCATTTCATAGACTTTAGTTCATCAAGATTAGTCAGACAGGTAACAACAGTTATCTAGATGCCTATGAGAGCTTAGAAATGAGTCAACATAATAATATTATGTATAACGATGATGCACCAATACATATATATAGCATATAGGGATACATACATATAGGGATATAGCTTATTGAAATAATATTTTTAGTTTCAGATTTACCTGACTAGTAGATAAGGCAATATTGTGAAATTAATTTTAAGACAATTAAGACACAGGTACCTACCTAGCAGAGGTATCTATAGCATAAATGAGGACAACATTGTCTGTAATTTAATCTTTGTCTTGAAGATGATCACTTGGTGAATGAAACAAGTGTAGAGGTGTTAAAAATAACAGTTTGGTTTCATAAACTACACGTCACGATTTGATCTCCACAAACTTTATTTGAAAAATATATCACGACATGTCGTGATATATTTTTCAAATAAAGTTTGTGCTTCAAGTAAAGTTTGTACTATGGATCTTCATCAAGTAACGGCCGAATCAATCAGAAAAATAACAGTTTGGTGTTGGGATATAACTCTAGTAAATTCATAAAGAATGATAGACAAAAATAAAGGAAAAAGCAGATAGAACAAATGGAAAATACTGCAAGACAGTTCTATATCATTTAATTGAAGATGAATTTCCACAAAATAAATAAGTCATCAATATCACAAATCTGAATTAAAATTGAGGAAAACATTTTGAGAAGAAAATTCCACAGATATTCAAAGTAATTACTACTTTTGTCTCAAAGGTGAAAAAAATTACAAGAAATATGAGATTCATGAAAGAGCTTGAAGTTTTAATAGATGTGTTTTATTGGCAGTAATCTCATTTCAGATCTGTCATACCTGACAAAAGAAAACTTTATATTTGAACCTGACAGAGTTGTGACAGAGGTGTGGAAGTAGAAAACAGTAAAAACTTGTTTCATAAACTGTAACTGAAACAATTTCATTTGTTTTCTATTTTTTAATTCTTTGAAGATTTATTACCCAGGTGATTTTAGCCCTTTAGCCATCTGGCTTCTTTGCTTGAAGGATATCAAGGAATGTCATCCTTTCTAAAATTTTCTTTCTTGATCTTTTCTAGTCATTTTTAAATTGTGTTGATCAACACTTATTAAACTAAAATATTTTCTATTTTTACCAGAATACCCAAATCAATTGTGACCGATATAAATGGTTATTTATTTCTTTTGTTCAGAATTTTGTGACCTGTACCATTCTCAAAGTATTCTTTAATCCTAATACAAAAAAGCAGTAATGATATTATTATAATGTTGAAGATGCAATATAATTGTGGATACACCTTAAGTTTTTCATCTTAATTTAATCAAATTGATATATCTATGATTTCATTTTAATGTCTTTAAAAAGGAGAGCTACTTTCATACATCATCGAACCAAAAATGTATCATTCATTCATCGATATAGAATAATAACACGACATTCAATAATGAAGTTAGTTTTCTTTTTTTCAGTACCGTCTCCCAAAATATTTGAAAAACCATTCGCCAACACCACTCCAAGTTAAATGAACGTGAAAAGCATAAACACCAAATCATATTCAGAGATCTAGCGAAAGCTATGCAGAGGCTTAACCGATTCTACTTCTGACGCTATGGCTTTCTTTGAAGATTAGTAAAATACCAACTAAAATTTCAAGAAAGCCATGACGGCAGGTATATATCTATGTTTCTAAGTAAACTAAAACCCAATATAAATATAAATGAATTACACCATGATTTTGTACAATGTTTCTTAGTCTACTTTCAAAAATTGAGAATCAGGACTTCCTGTCAAGTACATAAAACATTTTGGAAAACATAGCTAATGATATACTGGTGCATAATCTTCAAGAGATAATTCACCTACTAGACAGTAAGTCCTGAAAATAAAATATCCCATCGCCATCTAGTGACAACATTGACAGACAGAAGTCAACCAAAAACAACATGAGCAATTACGCTTAACCAAGACGTTGAAATATCCAAAATGATTGCTTTCAGTTTTGGTATAACAGTTCTATAACCGTAATAGATAAAATAAACAAATACCCAATCCAAATCTATAAATTAGTCGCAGACATTGTTTGTTATAACAAAAGCCTTAAACATGAAAAGTGGACGAGCATATTAGGAAAATATATAATTTTAACTAGTTTAACATATACAAATATGTATATAACAAGATATGTATAAAGCAACAGGATCGGAATGTTTTTCATCACATTTGTTAGGAGTTGCAGTCTTTCAATATCCATATTTGAGAAAGACAAGGAAACAAGTCAAGAAATAATTTCAGGGTTGGCAAAGGAGCGTTCCCCTAATAGTATATTCACAGATCACAACCCAGAGTTCGTAAAATCCCATATACCAACAAAAATGGACGTCAATGAAAATTCAAACTTAACAGTAACAACTTTCAAAATATTTGTCATGTTTTTGTATAAGCCAAGACTTGGGTAGCAAGTAGCAGAGCAGGCCCATCAGGAGTGAAGTTCAACAATCAATAATATTTCAACATGTACTGGTATTTGAAGGTTATTAAAGTACATGTTGATAGAGTGCCAATCCTCCTGCTCTTGTTCTTTACCACTTTTAATCACATTTTATTAAGTACGAAATGTTTTAGCACTCTACTAGGTGATAATAAAAACACTACTTGAAATAAATTCGTGTCACGCACAACTATCTTGTTAAATTTGATCAATAAACCCAAAACATTTGAAACTATATTTGTCCCAACTAAGTATTGTCCCAACTAAGGCACTGTTTTTTGTACTATTTACAAAATCTATCTACACTAATTCTGGAATAAGTATTCAGGGAATAATCAATATCTATAATCAATAATAATGAATCAACCTCATTCTTCAACCTCAGAAAATTGTGTCATATTGCTGTAGTTGATATTCTCTTGTTCGATGAACAATGTAACTGAAAAAGTTTCTGACCAAACAAAAAACAGGGGACTATATATTCATCAGTATTACTAGTGATGAAAAAATCCATTACATACCGAGATTCACCAGTACATATTCTCATAATTGCAACCAACAAGTGAATGATTCTCCACATCACTTAGACGAGTAGAAAAAGTTTTAGCGAATTTTTGTATTAATTCATTTTTATAAGTATTATAGACAACTCCTTCTTAGTGCGTGGAAACAATTACTAGTAAACTTTTGAAGTAAAGTTAACAGTTATTGAGCTATTCAAAATTTTTAAGGAAAATATTAAAAACTGCATTCTAATCGAAAAAAGAAAACACCAATCTTAAAATATACACTTTCAAAAACACTGAAATTATATTATTTTATTTTGAACTTGAGATTTCTGATATCTGTTTACCCTTTAAATGTCCAAAAATACATTACCCATAAAATAAGCTACACATAAAAATGCATAATCTATTTGAAACAATTCAAGCATATGTAATATAATCTATTGAAACCACTTTTCTCACAGCAGAACAAAAATACTGATGTGGGCAAAGTTTTTTTTTTTAATAGATTCATTTTATGTCGGAGACTCCAGTTCTAACTATAAAATGCTTTAAAAAAATCTTCAAAAATTTTGAAAAGCTTCCTTTTCCTAAACGCCACATACCTAATTATATAGATATACTCAACATAATATGATGCAGAGAAATCAAATTTGTATATTTTCCAGGTGAATTTTTCTTATGACATTCACGTTACATAAATGTTTGGATCCAAATACAAAAAACTTTGTATATGAAGGTAATGTAAAATATCCCCTGTCATGTGCCATTTTGTCAGGAAACTTTCGACTTTTATCACTGTCAAAATTGAATTTGATTCAGATATATCATTGTTAGACAATGTATATAGACTACATGCAAATCACAAGAGAGCTGCCAAATCAAATATTTGGATAAAAATGAGGATAAACAGGTAGAGTAGTGGGTGCGAACTGTCTTTTAGCAGGTGAAGCCTGATCAGTGAAAGCTTCCCCGTAGCTCCGTTTCACAGCTACGTGGGGAACCACTGGCACCATGCCAGGCGCTTGACCCTGCACCAAATGAGAGTATTGATACATCCCTGGAGGTCTTTGTAACGCGATCTGCATTCGCGGTTGCATCACCATGAAAGGATGGTGGGACGGAAACAAGTGAGACATAATGGGAACTGCAGAAGAACCTTTCAGAACAGGGTTCATAGAGGGCAAAGACCCAGTAGCTGTGCTCGGCTGGGCGCTGGGCGGAGATAGTGGTCCCATATTCTGATTATAAAGTGCCATGTTATGTTGTGCAATCTGATTCATAAGAATCATCTCGTTTTGTGCTTGAGCTTGAGTTTGCCTGGCAATGAGGTTGTGTTGAGCAATAATCTGAGCCTGCTGCTGAGCAAACAATGCAGAGCTATCCCAAGTCATGTGTTGCTGAGAGGGAGTTACCAAACTCTGAGTCATTGTCGTGACAGCAGCCGTTTGAGGGAGAGGGGGCGGGGGTATATTAGTGGGTGGTAGTGGCGCAATTGGAGATAACATACCAGGACTGAGAAGTGCTGGAGCTGCCTTGGCTGGAGAGACCGGTGCCGGGATACCACCAGTTAAAACGAGATTCATGTCTTCTCCAGAACACTGGAACACCTCAATATACCTCTGTTTCTTGCCGAATATCATGTACCTATGGTGTTTTTGCTGTGCAGTTATGAAAGCTGATTGTTCCGAGTCCATCTGAATGAAGGCTTCACCACTGGGTTGGCCCTAAAATGAATATATTATTATTATATTTTCTGTACAAGACATTTTTCTTAACAAAAAATACTAGTTTCGAAAGAATTAGCATTATAGGTATAAATGATCTATTCACTGACTAGAAACAGACATTGAAATATACAAATGTAGGTTAAGGTACTCATTTATATGGTGACTATATTTCTGTATGTTTACCGCAGTTTTAAAGAAGTTTTGTTAATAAGGGGGAGTGCCATTTTGCGCTGCTAAGTTACGAGAGAAGTACTTTTGATAAACCAAAAGAATATACATTCCATCAAGGTGTATTCCTTCAAATGATAATTATTTAACAAAAAATATTATGGCCTCAAAGACAAAGGATGAAACTATAATATAACAAGTTTCACAGCATTAATTAAAACAAGTTTTCAACACCACATTTACACTAATTGATATAACATATTAAAATATACATATACAAATTACTTACAAACAAAAAAAAATTAAATGTTTTGGACATCAAAACATAAAAAAGTCCGATAATTATTAATAAAATCCTATTTGCTAGTAATTGTTTTATATCCTTTATAAACATCTCTCAAAATATTGTTGAATACGAAATTTATAACTAAAAGCTCAAAAAAATATGTGTGATTTAAATCCCTGAAGGAAATGAAAAGGCGGCAAATTCAATTGAATAACAAAAAAGATTGGATACAAGTAGTAGTATTACGAATGGTGCTGCATGAACATAGAAACAGGAATAGAAACATTGTGATGCTTTGATTTGTTCATTATCTCCAACTATTGGGAAATTGGATGCCAGCGCCATGGTAGCGAAAGTTTAAAACGTCTAATTATATCTGCAAACCAATGTGTTTTGAGCCTCTGTTTTGACACAGTTCAACCTTATTTACGGGATTTTTTTTTGTGAACATTTCACGGAAAATTGATTCCTTATCTTCCTGAGTTCCTTTTTCAAGATGATAATTCAGTTTATTCACGGTTTCCATTTCTATCCCAGACTCTCCCGTTCTTTGAGGATAGGCACACACTGTTTATAGGTTAGCTTATTATTATTTCACATTTGACACATTAAAGAATTAATATATGAGTACTTAACACCAAGCCTTTATCACAAAATAATGATTTCTTTCATTTTTTTCAATTCATTCAGTTCTTCTGTTTATGTGTAGCACTAGCCATTTTGCTTACCAAGAAAATTTTGTAAAAACAAATTTTTTATTTCAGATGCAGTATTAGTATCAAACTATCTCAATCTATTTCATGCCCCCCCCCCATGAAATAGATTACCATTTTCTTGTTTACCATCTCTTGTTCATTTTCCACGTACAACCAATTTTTTTTTTAAAGTTGGAAGTTATTGTGATACTCTCGCAAGTGTTTTCCTCTCATAAGATTTAAAGTCCGGTACTAGCATTAGGAATGAATTCATTTATCTATCACCTTGAACCTTTTACAATGTTGAATATTTTCGGAACACTGAAATATTGGTTAAATATTTATATTCAAGTGTCCAAATTCTAACGAATAGGAAAACTTCTAGGAATAGTGATATAAAATAATTTAATTCAAAAGGAAATAAAGTTCCTTCTTTTTGAGAAACCACAAATATGTGTTTCTTCAAAACGAAGCTTCATAAATGTCCTACTTATTTTCTCTTCGATTCTTTATATACTACTGGTACTGACCTGAGCATTGTAAACCATGTGGACCCCTTGAAAAACTATGTTTTTGGCAAAATCACCCAGGAAATCCAAAATATGTTCAACCTGGGCTTCATAAGGCAATCCTCTTAACCTAATGCAGTCTTTTCTGGTTCCAGAAGTAATAATATGTTGTGGCAATAAAGGCACCTGAGGTAATTGAGCGATTAAAGGTGCTTGCTGCTCGTAAGTCTTAGGATCCAAACACCTGTTAAGGACCTGCAAAATTTACGAAACCATCGTGTATACAGACTAACTTCAAAGACAAACGATGACTTAAAATAAACAGATGCTTGGTCACATTGTCATTTTGGTATTAACCACTGGCATAAAAGTAGCTAATGAAACAATTGAATGAACTTGATAAAGATGCTCACCTGCTGAACTTCGGCAGTTGTTGATCTAAACAGTTCAATATATCTAGAACCTATACATTCCCTATGTTTCGAGAGAGCTTTGGGTGAATCGGATTCATTAGCGAACAGAACAAAGGCATCACCAGTGGCCCTACCGTCTGGTTTTCTCACGAAGAGAACCCCCTCTGTCCCATCTAGTACAGTACAAGAATTTTCTCCCGTGGCAAAGAAGTCCAACTGAAAAAGGAAGTAAAGTTCAAATATGCAATAAAAAAATAAAAGTTGCAAACGTACAAAACAATAAGGGATAAATCATGTAATTTTCATTAAAAACTGTGTAAATATTCAATATTTTCATAAAAATAAGTTACAAGAAAAAAACGACTGGAATGAAAGTTATGCAGTTAAATTAAAACTCAATTGAAGTTTGAATATAAATAATGGTGACTTGAATGAATTTCATAGTTCATGATCGTTTGCAAGTCTCTGTATTCAAGTAATCATAGTTGGGAGTGATGAAATGTGATGTAAATATATTGCAATTGAAATATGATTCTTGACTATGGCTGGGAGAATTAAAGTTTATGACGATTATGACATATCGAATTTCTATTTTTTTCAACAGAATGTGTGGATTGATTTAGCATTTGTTCAGTTTGAATTTTACTGGAGTTTTTTTTTCCCAACACCAAATCGTTATTTTCAACAGGTGTTAAACAGGTGTTAAAAATAACGATTTGGTGTTGGGAAAAAACTCTAGTAATATTCATTACTACACCAAAGGTTCCAAACAGTGCATCATAAATTTGTTCTGTTTCTTGATAGTCTAAAAATATATGTAGCTTAAAGTTGATGTAATTGAAATATTTATGCCGAACTCGTTCAATATTATGAATATGTTGTAATTGGATTCCAAAATTTGAGAGCAAGCATGAGTATAATGATCTCGAGATGTATAATTCAAAATATGCAATGTTCACCAAAGCTTTGTCAATAAGAGTTTCTTTTTGGACAATAAAGCACATTTATTATTACTATTATTATTTTTATTAAGCTCTTGTCTACTGACTGAAACCTCCCTACTTTGACCCTATAGACATGCCCGGAAACATCCCAGCAGATATACTGACAGTTAGTCTGCCAGACTAATCATCACATATCTTGACTCATTATTCACCTCTCCAAACTTTGAGATATTGATTCTTACTTTCATTTTCAGTGTTATTATATCTTTTATGGAATCGTGAATAATGCCTCCACCATATGCTACTCACGAATCCATCTACCACATTCCAGCACCCTTTGTTCTGGAGTATATCTTTCTTTGTAATTAACGCACTAATCACTTACTCTCTTTCCTATTCTCTGTATAAGTACTGAAGGATCTATGCCCAGTCAGAAACTGCGTTGATTAATAATCAAACCATCCGAAACCGCATACCAATCATGGTTTTCACCTGGCCTGCCACCTCGTCTTCTGCCTAGTTTCAGCCTTCTTCCTGCGATGCTGGTTGTTGTACCCATCGGCCCTCTCCTCAATGAGCATGTCCATAGGGATAACACCCTTAATTACATGCACTCCCTCTATTACCACAGTGTGTTATGCACTTGCTTTATGCAAGAAAATTCAACTCTGTACACTCGTCACCAGTTTGCTTCCTATGTCCCTGACATTCGATATTACCCAGGCAATGTCTGCAGCCAACTGTTTGTCTCTATCAGTAGCAGTATTTACTACCCACCTCCGAATCCATTTATAGACACAGCTCATAGAGCTTGCTCAGGGTATCGAAAAGATATATCTTGCAGAACTTTCAAGCTTCAGTGTTCTGTGCACCCTTTGGTACAAGAGCAACGCTAGCACTATGACATCCACCGCTACTCTCAGTGCCTAAAATCTAATACCATTCGGCCCTGGAAACTTGCTATTTTTGAGCTTTCTACAGGTAGTCAGACCTCTACCTATGCGAACTCTTCATCTGCGGCAAACTGCACCATTTCACTCCTATTCCGTGTATCTTTTCTGGTTGGAAGAAGCTCCTGAACTATTTTCCACTTTCACTGTTAATTTATTTGTTATGAAGACGGACTATATGCCTGAATATACCTGTCTCAAAGAATCGTCTTTGAGTTAGTCACACATCTCATTCCACTAATTCCGTTTTCCTTTCCTGACTGACTTCCTAAAGAGGAAACTACGTCCCCCGCGTTCTGGTACGAGTTACCGTCCTACTCGAACATGATTACCCAATATCCTAATGATACATATGTTCAAAGATGGATAGGAAACAGGGTTTCAATGCGTTGGCCAGCTCGTTCCCCTGATATGACCCAACCAAATTTTTTCTATGGGTTTGTCTAAAAAGATTTGTATACCAAGTGCTTTAGATTAAGAGGGACTCAAGAGCCGAGTCTGTTGTGGCTTCTATCACACCAGCTATGATTACATTTGTCGGCTCTAGAGAATTCATGAATTGATATCAAGCTTCAAACATATTTTGTAGAGTACAGTAAAGAATATTTGCATCAACTGACAGCACTGAATTTAATGAAAGTCTTTGGATACTTACAACTTGTTTAGCAGTACAATCATAGGGCAAGCCCCTCATTCTAACAATAACAGCTGCACCTCTTGACAAAAACGCCTGCGCTTCACAACTTGATCCACCGGCAACAGAGAGAAAATCATCTCCGGATGCTCGGTAAACTTCGATATACCTATTTGAAATGTGGTGCTTATGCCTTTTGAGCGCCATATCTCTGTGTTCCTGGCTTACAAATCTTACAAGTGCTTCTCCGTTTCTTCTTCCTTGTGCCGACAGACACAATGCTACACCACCTCTAAAAATTAATGCATGCAATAAATAAAGTTATTCTGCCTGGTGATGGTATACCTAAGAAGTGAAAATTCAGTGTCATTTCTTCAGATTTGGTAAACTAGAAACTGCACATTTACCATACAAATTCTCATAATTTTTCAGTATACTATCTATTGTCTCATTATTTTTTCTCACATAATACAGTTGGCTGTTGATCTACTGATATTTTCAAATTTGATATTCAAAATTATTTTTCCTATAATAGTTTTCAATCATATTCAATGATAACATAAGTTTCTATTGTTGAAATTAAAAAAATCCCCTTTTTAATGAATACAATGAACAAAAGGTTGATTGAAAAATGTATTATTGACCATAAACAAATAATATGATTTTCATATAATGGCACGATTTTATGACTCCAAGTCTACATTTCATTCAAAGGGGTTTTAATATTTCATTTAAATGCAAATACCTGTTATTTTTATCTGTAAACAATAGAACAATTTCTGTAAATGTTAAATATACATGAATTAATGTTTCTCCAAGTGGAGAAAAGTGGAAAAGTATCCAAAAATTAATGAAACACTTTCACTACTGTACACAAAACCATATCATAATACCTGGTTCTTAGTGAGTGCAGCTATACTTCAATTTTAAAAGAATACACATGATAAAGTAGGAATTTTCAAGTTTGTATCACATCTTACTTATATTTTCAAACAATCTTCCTACATTTCGAAAACGCCCATAAGAATACTAAGTATACACAACCGGAGTACCCCAGTTACCAGGCTGGAATATTCTCCAAATTCTCTAAAAATTCAAATGTACCAAGAAAAGAAACCATAAATATTCAACGTTTGAGTTGAGACTGATATGTCATATAATGTTTTGAGTTCAAATATGAAGATATCAAAATCTAAATAGAAGTAATTCAAAAAATAAAGGATAAAGTATAAAAATATAGGAAAACAAGTAAGCAAATAATTAAAATAGTTTTTTCAACAGTTAGTTCTTTGAATTTGTAAATTTCAAGTTGGTACCTTTCAGATATTGTTTACCTCACAATGTACTGATAAAAATCAGCCTTTTTTTTTCAAGGAAAAAACACAAGCACTATAGGAAAATTCTTAAGGCGCTCTAAAAGCAATGCCTGTACGAAAGTAGGGATTCACGTTGGATTTGCATTGCTGGAGATTAAATTCATTGGGAAAAACATTCTCAGGAAGTTTATTCCACATAAACGCAAAGTTCCAAAAGAAAGAATTCTCAAATAGTGTAGTTCGAAATGTACTGAGTTGAACGTCAAAACTATGAGCAACCACGGTCCTTCGAGTATTTCTGATATGTACCGCTCTATGGTGGAATCAAATGTGCCAAGTTACTTGAACACCTTCCAAGAAAGTATATATAAAAGAGAAGCAAATCCCCAACCTTTCTTCGATGTTCCAGGCTATCAAGGTTGCAAGTGATGTTCGTGTCTCCAATCAGGCGAATGACTCTTTTCTGGATGGAATCCAGCATCTTCAAGGTATGCTTAGGGGAGGGGTTTCAAACATGAGAACAATACTCCAAAGAAGCTCTGATCTGTGCTTCATAAAGCATTAAAAGTTGCTGAGATATGTACAGTTTTCTGGTTTGGAACAGTGTTTCATGCTTTTGAGAAGCTGCCTTTGCAATTTCAGCGACATGATTGTGACAAGACATATTGGTGACCATTTCAACCCCCAAAACGGAATTGTTGGTCCTGATATTATTATATACGGTTCGGAGACATTTATCTTTTTGGAGAACACCGATGCCTGGGTTTTCGTGGCATTGAATTGAACCTGATTATTTTCACCCCAGCCTGATATCCGATTTTCTATTTTTTTTTATTGAATTTATCTAGTAATTATTTTTGAAATTGTTCAATTGTATCTCTGAATTTTGTATGATAGAAATACATCAGTAGATTCAAAGTATCAAATATCAATATTTAAGATGATTTTATATCCATCTGATATAACTTCAAGGTCTTCTTGTTATATATTTACACTGAATTAAATTCAAATAATGTTCAACTGCAACAATTCTAATCTTTAACTGAAGTCCTTGACAAGATAAAATCAAATGAACCACTTACTTTGCAACATTTAATCCTCTGAAAAATTTTGCTATATCTTGGTCACTACTTTGCCACGGTAATCCTCGAGCCCTCACAACACAGTTGCTGTCAATTTCATCATCTTTCGAACTGAAAAAAAGAAATAGTTGTGGCTCAATATGAAGTCTCAGTTTTCAATAACAAAGTGTAATGATTATGTGTACATTACTTGCACCATTTATGTGTGATGAGTATCTGATAACGCATACATCAATCAAATGTAGTAAACTCAAAGTATGTTTTTTTTTGGGTCAATAAAATATTTTCAGGATATTTTCTTTTTTTTTAATGAGTCATTTGAGTTTGAGGAGATATTATTTTTGGAAATGAAAGGTTTTGTAGGAGTAGAAATCCAAAACATTTCGAGTCCTTTACACCAATTTTCAAAAACATATCTAAATATAAAACGGGTTAATACAGATATTGTCTGAATTTTATTTGTGGAGGCAGAAAATAATACTTGGCATTTATAGGTTTCCACTCCCCTGAAATCAATAAATTATTTCAATAAATCAAATATGTAGAGCAAATTATTAAATTTCCCCAGAAATGTCACTGTATTCGAATAAAATTCGAATGAAATTATCCAACATGTCAGTAGCAATTATTATTAGTTTTGCCTATGAGTACTTTACAAAACAAAAAATATTAGTAGGTATTTTAAATGAAAATATACCTAAGTTTCAGGAATCCTCTGAGGCCTTTCAAGAATCGTGATAGAAAACTGATTAAAATCGCACACAAATATGTAGATATTAAATTAAAAATCTTTCGAAATTTAAATTTCAGGCGAGTGAAAATTGTTAAAAAAAGAGATCTCACAAGTACAATTTCATAGGTAGAATTAGAATCTCTAGCATGAAATGAATTTATTGAAAATGAACAATTTTCCCACACAGGACAAAAATATTCTCTCTCCATGCAAGTTTCAATAACCAAGTTAGCATCTCATCTAAGTGATGCTGATGAGTCGTGCGTCGAGACAGTATTTTTTTCTGGTCTGGGAAAGTGTATTCAATAGATTAGGTAGGTATAATTTGTTTCTTTACATCATTTATTAATTCTCCACAAATTTATATTTTATCATGATAGAAACAGGTTAATAACATTTTTCTGTTGGGTCTTATTATATTCTGTTTGGTATAACAATTGGTACTAGATGAATAAACTTTAATAAAAATCTAAAAAATTAGATCCAGCTTCTTGAAGTTTACTAGTCAGATATAACCCAGCCTGTTGAAAAACTAGAGTTCAGCTGTAAACTTGAGTATATTTCAAAATATTGACATGTTCAACCATCTGCACTTCAAATAACTTTCTTCCTCTCACCTCTCTGGTAATCACTAAGCTCTTTAAGCATTATATCATTCTACATTTAGAAGTCAGTCTCATAGAGATTTTTAAGTATTATATTGTAACATTTTGTTTTTGTTTTGATCTTCTGATCAACAGGTTTTCGATTTCGTCGCAGAACACAAAACACAAATTTTGTGACGCTGGTGCCAGATAAGTGCAAATTTCGAAAACGTCATGTGCCAATTATGGAACGTATTTCATAGATCCAGTAGTAAACATACATATATATTTAAGCCGCATCCCACGGAAGAGCAGAGAAAACCCACAGATAAAAAGAAACAAACAAAATTGAGTCAAAAATTTTATCGAAAACTTGACATTATAATAATGTATATCTTCAAGAAAATGAAAAACTTCGTATATACAAAATATGACTGGAATACTGACAGGGGTTGGAGCTGCAGCTCTGGCAAGCACCCATACGTAAATCCGACACTAAACATATTCTCCATACAGTCAAGTGGGGTCCCAATATGCCTTTTATCAGGTATATTTTCTCTTTTATATCGAAGATTTAGCAAAAACTTTTAACAAAAATTAATCCTAATAAAATAATTTGTAGAAAATATTGTCACCAATTTTTAAATCATTCAATTGACTTCTGACTGACTGAATGAGTTTATTATTCAAAGCCAGTTGTGGAAAAAGTATCTATAGTACGCACCTAGAGGATAAATGGGGAATGTTCCTCCTGACGAAAATCAAGTGGTTTCATAAAAGAGCTCTAAAACAACGCATTTTAAATTCATCATTTCAACCTTTTCCTTTAAAAAATATTTAAATACTTAAAAAAGAGGAATGAAATAATGCATTCAATATTTAAAGGGATTCGTTTCTATTTCACCATTTGGCAACATCGGTTATAGCTAATAGAGGACAATGAATCTGTTACCTGTATGAGACAAACAAAGATGACATATTTCAGAAGCGTGCTGTTCTGTTTACTTATGTTCCGAGTTCCGAGACATTCTGTGACATATGACAGTTTGTGCACCTAACCTATCTTCCTCTATATAAATAATTAATAAAACAACTTGTTTATGTGGCTTGTGGAGGTGGTATTGAACTATAATTTATATTTTGCCTCAATTGTTGATTTATAAAGATAATTTTCCTTTTTAAAGTAGAATATCTAGGTACGTATAAATTATTTCAACTTGATATAGGCGCTGTTGCCAATATGTGAATTAGGAACAATTCCTTTCAAAAATTAAAAACCAACATTTGAAACATAAATTTGAATACTTTTCGAAGTGAATTTGACAAACTCATTAAATAAACTCAACTTTATTTTGTTCAAAACTTGCATTTACTGTAATAACCCAAATTGAGGAACAATCCCCATTACGTCCATTCGCGAATTATGGAACTCGGCTAACGCCTCGTGCTTACAATTTTTCGCTCGTGGGTTGTTGGATTCTTATCCTACTCGGTACGTTATATACGATTCATTATGTGAATACATTACTCTCAGTGCATATCAGCCAGGGCTAGTTTATAAAAGGGGTAACGAAATATAAAAAATGTTGACCATTACATTTGTGACATCATTAGGAGGAAAAATTATGCAAAATTTGAACTTATCTGTTGTGTATCCCAGATAATCCATAAAAAACACGCTTTTAAAGAACATCGAACTAAAAAGTTAAAACTATTTTTTTCAAATAAGCTTAAAACAATAACGAAGGAAAAATACTAGTAGTATTGTGAAAAAAGCGACGGGCGCTTGATATACAAAAATTGTGACACAAAGCGCCCATGCTTTTTTCACAATAATACTAGTTTTTTTCGTTCGTTATTGTTTTGAGCTTATTTAAAAAAAAAATTAAACTTATCAGTTCGATGTTCTTTAAAAGTGTGTTTTTTAGCCTTTTTTAACTATATTTATTTTATCTAAACTTTGGGATCAATCAGCCTTATATTGTTTAGAAAAATGGCCATTGATATTTTCCGGTTCCGGAGAGGGAGCCTGAAAATCAGCTACCAAGCCCAAGCCAATATGCGCGCAAAGGGGGGTTACAAATAAGGCAGCAGGCGCGCGTGTTAATAAAAAAATACTTTTTTTAAAAGAATACATGTAAAGTGAATTCGAATTATATCAAGAAGGTTACGCACCATCTGCCCGCGAATAGATCAAGCAATAATGTCGATAATTCTGTCTAATACAGATCCCGAGCTTGAGAGTTACAAGCAAACATACATACATACATACATACGTACAGGTGAAGCTAATAAAAGCTTGTTTATATTCTTTTGTTTCGTGTAGAACTCATAAAAATATAGGTTTATTAATTTTGTATGCAATCCCATAGGTGAATAATCCCGATTTTACAAAATTTATACAATTTCAAAGTTGGTAACACTACTATTTGAAATTCCATCGAAAAAATACCGGTTGAGGCTGACATTTGAATCTCTGTGACTGATCATCATTCACGGAACTACTTATACGCAGAACTGCGAGTGATTGAAAAATAGGACCTCAGGTGTATCCGTATCCAACTTCAAGAAACGATAGAGTGCGTTATAGGGCATTGAACTACTTTAGTGAAATCACTAATAATATCGATCCTTTTTTAAAAAAGAAAGACCTTGCACATAGCTTATTAAAAACAAACAAATAAAGTTTTCCAGTAGGATAGAGTATATACGTTGATTTAAGTTTCTTGAGACATATATTGCTCAAACTGGAAGAAAACTTTCCCCCCAAGAATAAAAGAGATAAGACCTAGTTTTCTAGACGTGAATGTAAATTCTTCATTTGCAAACCATCTTTAAGCAGCATCTTTCAATCACAACTATGATGTGTTACGTTTGGAAGAGGTTTGAAACCTTTTGCAATACTTAGAAATCTGTTTAAATCTGTTCTGTTTAAAATCTGTTTTTCCGTTAATCAGCTATCGCCCCCATACGAACGACAACTCTCAGAAGTTGAGAAACTTGTGCGAGCTAAGGACTAACGAGGTCTTACCTTTCAACTTGTGATTAATGCCCGTATTCGCCGTAAACCAGTAAGCGAAGCTTAAGGAGTAAGCTCGCTTAACCGTATGCACCGTATCCACAAACGCCTTTAAGTTCGCTCAAATGTAAGCGACCAAATTCTCTCGCTTTATATGTAAAGCCAAGCTTATGTAGACATCAGAACCTCACTTTTTATTTTTTAATTTTGGAAATTATGTAAGTGTCGTTTTGCTGAAATGTTTTAGTAAACGAACTTATAAAATTAAAATCATTTGTTACAGAATGATGGAACTCTAGAAGATGAAATCATGCTGAAAGCCGATAATGGCATCTTACACATTATTGTTTTTGTATATCCACGAAGAGTTTTTAGGAGGTCCAACTATTTCGAGGAGATGGATGATATGGCCTTCTATAGAAGATTCGGACTGACCAAGCTGACAACACTATATGTGCTGGAGCTCATAGAAGATGCTTTATAATTCAAAAAAACATTCAATTGTTCTTACTTTTTTTAATACAATTACATAAGATATAACTGACCACACGTAAAATAGAAAATTTATAAGTAGTTTCATAGTATTATATTGGTTCAGCAGAGCTGGCCATCGACCGAGATGCAGAGAGTCCTGAGTAGAACATTTCTCTCTCTATACGTGGCTATGATTGAATTGCAAAATTTATTTCTCCGTTGAGATAAAGTTTGGAACTCTTTTTCATACATTTCGCTTGTAATAGAAATGAACATTTAGTGGTAGTATGTTCTTTTGTCT